AAGACCTGCAAGCTTTGACTGATTTGAGAGACAATTTGGTGACTTTCCCCTGAAGAAACTCTTATGAAGAGATATTGCTTAGGGAGTGTCTAGGTCCCTGAAAGGATATTTGCCTAAAGACCCTCTCAACTCAGTCATACGGCCATGTAGTGGTACAGCCAGAACAGAACACTTCCTCGGATTTAAGAGCTTGGGCTGTGGCGTCATTTTGACATGGATCCAACCCCAGCTCCACTGACCCACTCAGGGAAGCTGAGCAAACCGCTCATCGTCTCTACACCTCCCTTTCCTCCTAGGGCCAAGTGAAGATTAAATGAGATAATGCACAGAAAGGCACAGCACGGGCCTGGCGTTGTGCTGAAGGGAACTATTCTTCCCCTCTACTGATCTTCCTGTGACTCAGGCAGGAACAGCACCACCTAGCGAACTCACTTTTGGAGTAGCCTTTCTTTTTCCCAGCTTTGTTGAGATATAATAGACATATAATAAACTGCACACATGTAAGTGTACAATTTGATTGAGTTTTGAATGAGGTACACACCTGTGAAACATCCTCACAATCAGGATAATGAACGGATCCATCACCCACAAGTGTCCTTTTCCCTTTTGCAATCCCTTCCTCCCTTCCACTTGTCCCCCAGCAAACATGGGTCAGCTCTCCGTCACTATCGTTAGCTTGCATTTTCTAAAATTTCTATAAATGGAAGCATACCATATGCATTCATTTTTTGTCTGGCTTCTTTTACTCAGCATAATTATTTTGAGATTCATCCATCATTGGATGAATCTCAACTTGGTTTCTGTTTTTTCCCCCTGCACATGGCGGATAAAGTGTTTCCAAATGAGAGATACAGGCCAGTGGGGTCCTTCTCCAAGGTCCGGGCTGGGTTTCCTAGTCGTAGACCTGCAGCTCCCTGGGGTTCTAACACGTGTGTTTTGAGCACTCTGATGCTCCCTGTGTCCCAGTGTGTGCAAGTGTATCTGGTTCGAAAGCCACAGGACTTACCAAGCCAGAATCTTGGACGCAACTTTTTCACATTGCGTGTGCCCAGACTTCCTCCCCAGAGCTTCAGAGATCTGAAGTGTGGCCTGGTTGTGAAACTCCATTTTGAAGTAATGCCACTAATTTCTAAAACTCATCTGGGCAGGGAACACTTAAGCAAAAGGAAGAGAGTTCCGGCTGGGTGTGGTGGCTCACACCTGTAATCCCAGTACTTTGGGAGGCCAAAGTGGGCAGATCATTTGAGGTCAGGAGTTCAAGACCAGCCTGACCAACACAGGACAAACCCATCTCTACTAAAAATATAAAATTTAACTGGGAGGGGTGACGTGCACCTATAATCCCAGCTACTTGGGAGGCTGAGGCAGGATAATTGCTTGAACCTGGGAGGTGGAGGTCGCAGTGAGCCGAGATTGTGCCACTGCACTCCAGCCTGGGTGATAGAGTGAGACCTTGTCTCAATAAAAAAAAAAAGGTTTTAGAATTATAAATCATTCTACTATAAAAATATATGCACATGTACATTTACTGTGGCACTGTTCACAATAACAAAGACTTGGAACCAACCCAAATGCCCATCAGTGATAAACTGGATAAAGAAAATATGGCACATATACACCATGGAATACTATACAGCCATAAAAAGGATTAGTTCATGTACTTTGTAGGAACATGGATGAAGCTGGAAACCATCATTCTCAGTGAACTAACAGAACAGAAAACCAAACACCGCTTGTTCTCATTCATAAGTGGGAGCTAAACAGTGAGAACACATCGATATGGGGAGGGGAACATCACACACTGGGGCCTGTCAGGGGTGGGGGGCTAGTGGAAGGATAGCATTAGGAGAAATACCTGATGTGGATGATGGGTTCAGGAGTGCAGGAAACCACCATGGTACATGAATACCTATGTAACCAGCCTACACGTTCTGCACATGTTCCTCAGAACTTAAAGTATAATAAACAAAAAAAATGGAAGGGAGTTCAGGTAGCACCTGATGGTAGGAATCACATTCCCTAGAAGATGTGCTGTGGGCTGCTCTGTGCAGCCTGAAGTACCTTGTAAGATATCTGCGTGCCACCGTGAGTGCGGACCTACAGTTTTGCTTTGTTTGGTTTGTTTGTTTTGAGACGGAGTCCCACTCTGTCCCCCAGGCTGGAGTGCAGTGGTGTGATCTCAGCTCACTGCACTCTCCGCTTCCTGGGTCTCAGCCTCTCGAGTAGCTGGGACTATAGGCATGTGCCACTGCACCCGGCTAATTTTTTGTATTTTTAGGAGAGACAGGGTTTCACCATGTTAGCCAGGATGGTCTTGATCTCCTGACCCTGTGATCTGCCCGCCTCGGCCTCCAAAAGTGCTGGGATTACAGGCGTGAGCCACCACAGCTGGCAGGTACCCACAATTTTAATGACCACACGTGAAAATAAGTCTGCTCCCTGGGTTTATTTCAGCACACATGACTGGAGAGCCACTGTGTGTTGTGTACATCAGGAAATAAACAGGGTGGTACTGTCACCTGCCTGCCTGTGCAGTTCCAGAAAACCACACTCAAGAGGGCACAGAAATCAATATTGGAAATGAGACACTTAAGTTACCACAAAGAGCTATTTTTGCTTATTCCAAATTGCTCTGTTTCTCTAAGCAGCTATTTTCAGTCAGCCTCTTCTCTGGCTATGTATAGGGATGGCTCAGGCAATCTAAAAAAGAAAGAGGAAAACGAAAGGAAATCTGCAAATAGGTTCACAGCCTAGGGATAAATCTGGGGCACTTGCAAAGGTGGTAGGAGTCAGTTATTTTCCCAAACACCCAGCCTCTCCAAATTCTGCCCTTGAGTTGAAAACCATCAAGAAATAAAAACCCAGGTATGTTAGCGGGTCACTTTCTAGTAAGTGCTCAGTGTTTAAAAATAGAGATTTAAAAGGAAATGTCTCCTTCGCCTCTAGCAGGGGGCAGCTCTCTGCTCCTTTTGCTCTCTTGTCCTGAGACCGCCTTTCGGTGGCAGGTGAGGGGAAGCTCGTATCTATTTTTAAAACTTTATGCTTCTCTGACTGTTACCAGGGAGAACTCGGACAAAAGAGCAGTGCAGTGAAGGGAAGGAAGATCACTGTGAATGCTGGCCCAGCGAGTCACTCAGCGACTGTGTGCTGGTTCTACCACCCCCAAAGACATGGGATGCCCCTCCTCATCTCTATCGCCTTTGCTGCCACCTTGTCTGGGTCACTGTTGTTTTTCACCTTGGCCAGCGGACTTCGTGTTCTTACTCCTGGCTCTTCCAGTCTGGCCTCCACCCTGGAGCCAGAGAGAGCTTTTAAAAAGTGCAAATTGGACTGAATCACAGCTCGCATTAATATAAATGCATAATAAAAAGTCTGGAAGCTGTTAATAGTGGGTGTCTCTGGGGTAGAGTCGAAAGGAGACTAGAATGTTTTTACTATGCCTGCTTCTGTGTGGTTTGAATTTTATACCACGAGCTTGTATTTCTTTCATAATTTTAAAAGAATCTCAAACGTTTAATTTAGTCCCTGCACTCCAGGAGCTCTTAATCTTGCATTACAGTCCCGACACTAAAAAGTCTAGGAATTATGCTCGTTCATTATGGCCTTAAGGAGCAGAAGCCGCCATCACCAAGTGGAAGCTATCAAAGTGAGTATTAAGAAAGAGTGTGCTGATAAGCAGGGCTGCCTGAAGGTGGGCTGCTGGGTAAGCACAGGCAGTGTGCCAGGGCCAGGGCAGATGTCCCAGCTGAGGCTGGTGCTTTTGGCTGGGAAGTGGTCACCTGCCCTTAGGGTCCCTGCAGTTCTGTGACTACATGGGATGCCCTGGTGGATATATTTTTTTAGCCTGACAGCTTTCTTTCATTTCTAACTCTAGTTTCTTTTTTCTTTTTAAAAAATTGTTACTTTTAAAGATTTGGGGGCTACAAGTGTAGTTTCGTGATACTGATATATTGAGTGGTGGTGAAGTCTCGGCTTGTAGTGTAACCATTACCCGAACAGTGTACACTGTGCCTCTTAGATAATTTCTCATCCTTCATTCCCCTCCCCCATTCCACCCTTCTGCATCCCCAGTGTCTATCATTCTACTCTCTATGTCCATGTGTACACGTTCCTTTGCCCACTTATAAGTGAAAACATGCAGCCACCTGCAATTTCTTTTCTTTTCTTTTTTGAGACGGAGTCTCACTCTGTTGCCAGGCTGGATGGAGTACAACGGCATGATCTTGGCTCGCTGCAACCTCCGCCTCCCAGGTTCAAGTGATTCTCCTGCCTCAGCCTCCTGAGTAGAGTAACTGGGACTACAGGCGTGTGCCACCACAAGCTAATACAAGATAATTTTTGTATTTTTAGTAGAGATGGGGTTTCACTATGTTGGCCAGGATGGTCTTGATCTCTTGACCTCGTCATCCACTCACCTTGGCCTCCCAAAGTACTGGGGTTACAGGTATGAGCCACCTCACCCCGCCAGCCACCTGCAATTTCTATCAGACAAATATAGTCCTGCAAATTATGACTTAATCTTGTAGTTCCCTGTGTCCTGAAGGTATGGACAGCAGTTCTTCTGCAAGACAAAAAGAATACACACTATCTATATGGAGTCAAAGTGGATACTATCATTGGAAGGAGGAGGAGACTCCAGGAACAGTGGCCAAGGAGGAACCATCAGCACTAGCATTCCCAGCTAACCTTCCCCTGCGGCTTCAACTCTGTTAAGTCCAGCCCCACCGGGTTCCCACCCGTGCCTGCCTCCCCCTGTCTGCTTTCTGGTCCCCCCACTCACTCCCTTGGGCACAGTGCCACCTCTGGATACAGCTCATTGTTTGGATTCTGGAAGAGAAGTCATACTGCTGTCCGAAGGGATGACATATCCTTCCAGCTGTCATTATTCTTATTGTGGAATAAATAGAGATATTAGTCTGATTGGACAAGTGCTTTATGGAACCTACCTTGTTCCCTGCAGTCTCTCAGACGTTTACAAATTGGTTGAACCATGTTTTTATTTTCCCCACCACCTCAAGGCCATATCATTTCTCTTTTTAATATACAGACTATGCCTTGCACAGAGTAAGTGCCAATAAATATTTGTTGAATTGATTTTCCTGTTCAGCGATGTGGCAGAAAGACCCTCTTGCTTTGTGTGCATAATTCTTCCGTGTGGCGATTGCTGAACTCCTTTCTTGTGGATACTGGTCACATCGGCCAGTGCCAGGCCAAGTCTCAGGGTCTGAGTTGACTATTACCTGGGTCAACAACAATAAAGGCGACCCGAGGCTGAGTACAGATTGTGGTGGGGGAAGGGAGCCCCGAGGGGGTAAAGGGAGAACAATTCCAGTCTCTCACGGACAGGAACGAATATGTGCTGTGGGCAGGAGTCAAGGTAAGAGGCTCAGAGACCATGAGATGAGGAGCAGATGAAGCAGTGGAGAGCAAAGTAGGCTGATGTGATGGGTTCAAGGCCAAGGTGTTGAACAAGGGAGGCCAAGCCCTCATTCTGGGTTTGCATCCTCATTCATGCTGGATGCCGCTTTGGACAACTCTCTTAGCTCCATGGAGCCACATCATCTCCGTCTCTGTAAGACCAGGGGGCTCATAGTCACTGTGGGGATTTAACGAGGGAAATAATCTTTGAAAAAACACTGTAAACTTGGAAATGGAAATGGAAATAGAAGGCACATTTGCAACATTTAGAAACATCTCCTATCCTTAAATAATTTTTTGCAAGTCTTCTCTGCTCTCTTGTTCCTCTTGAAGGTTTAGTCCCAGGAACCCGGGGTCTTCAAGCTTGATGGGATCTTGGGTTTCCCTTGGCTCATCCCTATCCTGTTGCGGACAAGGAAATAGGCTCAGAAGGCTAATGAAAGTCGCCCAGCCCTAATTAAAGAGCACATCAGGCTGTGTGTGGTGACTCACACCTATAATTTCAGCACTTTGGGAGGCTAAGGCGGGCAGATCACCTGAAGTCAGGAGTTTGAGACCAGCCTGGCCAACATGGTGAAGCCCTGTCTCTACTTAAAATACAAACATTAGCCAGATATGGTGGTGCCTGCCTGTAATCCCGCTACTTGAGAGGCTGAGGCAGGAGAATTGTTTGAACCTGGGAGGCAGAGGATGCCATGAGCTGAGATCACACAACTGCACTCCAGCCTGGGCAACAGAGCAAGACTCCATCTCAAAAGAAAAAAAAGAAGAGCACATCAAAGGCCATCCCACCAATCACAGGTTCTTTGACTTGGATCCCTAGTTTATACTTTTATTTTGCTTTTTACTCCCTGGTTTTCATTTTACTTTCCCCCCACACGTCATTTTGAGGATAACTCATGCTGCTCACTGTAGACCAATTCGGCCTAACTATTGAGTGCATGGTGGGAATGCTCATTCAGTTGCCCCCAGACCCTAATAATAGTACTTACCACAGCTCAGAGCCTGGAATCTGCTACTAGGACCAGGCTACTGTGGAAAAGACAACCTTCTGCAGGGTCCAGATCCAGCTGGTGAAGGTGGGAGGGAAGAAGATGAAAACCCTCTGCTCCTGTCTGTCATGCTGCTTTTTCTACCTTCCCTTGAAAAGTTAGTCTCCTTCATGTCTATTTGGTGCCTTGTAGAGAGCCTGCTTCCCACTATGTCTCTGTCTTAGCTGGTGTCTTTGGCAGAGCCCTGAACCATCTCAGTATCAAATCCCGGGGCTCCCCTATTTGGCCCTGGTCTAGGTAACTGAACAGTCCCTGCAAGCATGAGGCATTGATGTATGTCCAGTGCAGGTATGTCATGAAGAGGTTCCACAGCAGAGTGACTAAGGAACCAATCAGGAGATGAATAAAACATGTCCTGTGTAGGTTATTCAAAAAAAGACTAATAATGAGAAACTCGAAGAAAGATGGGTGCCTTCTTTTTGGGTTTGTCCCTTCTTGAGCAAGTGGAAGAAAGAAGGCCTGAGGGTCCTTCAAGGGCACAGCAGCCAGGGGAGGTGTTGGGTGATGAAGGAAAAAGCATTTTTTGCCCCTCATTTAGCAGACTTTCAAACACTGCCTCCTCCTCCTCCTCCATGGTTGGGAGGTGCCACGTTTTGCTTCCCTCAAAGCCCCAACATGGTTGTTTCCTACAGCTGTTGCCATGATCCGACCCCAAGTCCTGGCTATTGACCGAGTGGCCACTTGACCTCCCCAGATGTCTCACTCTGCACTTCCAGATGTGGAAACCTCCCCCTGCTCTGCAGTAGGGCCTCTGGGTGCTGGCCAGCCTCCTCCTGGCTCCCTGCATCAGCATCCTCTCTACAAAGGCCGAGATGCAAGATCTGTTTTCCAAACCACCAAAATCATCACATAAATATATGAATGCATACATTTGTTAAAAACCGGCAGACCATACTGCTAACGACCAAACCAGAGATGGCTTGGGAAACGAGGGTAAGCCATCAGCAAACTCGTCAAGGTGAGGCGGTGAGGCAGCGAGGCGCGTGGAGAGCAGCTGGGGTCAGAGGCTGTGAGTTCCTGCACACTCACTGGCTGCATTGCTGCTAAAATAAGTCTCAGTTTCCTCATTTGCAAAATGGGGTTAATAATCAAAATAATGTCCATCCTGTTTACTTTATAAGGTTCTCGTGAGGATCAGAGAACATGAACCGTATGAAACTGCTTTTGTTTTTTAAGAAAGCGATACTTGCATACAAAACTATTTGTTTCATCATTAGCAAAGTGCTTTGCTGAAAATAAGTGCTCACTAGACTTTAGAAGTGTAGTCTGATTGTGAAAGAAAATGTGATTCTTTTATAGTGTTTCCTACCTGGCATTCTTCTTTGTTTGCCTGTCTTCCCTGCCTCCCCACTGGACTGTAAACCCTCTGAAGCCAGGAACTCTGTCTGTCTCACTCAGAGCCATGTTCCTTGTCCCTCGGGGAGTACTGGAACAAAGAAAATATCATTCAGTGGTTTTTGAGGGATGAATGGCGGCCTTATGGTTCAGAAGGACACAATGTAGGGAACAGTTACAACCGACTTAATTCTGGGGAATGCAAGCTTTTTTAACCGGAATTTGCTGCCGGTGTAGAAATGAAATATATCCTAGAAAGTGACCAGGTCATGTTGGAGATTGAAAAATGGAAGGAAACACTGAGTGTGAAGATCAGATAAGATCAGATATTGAGTAGGAAGAGATTTGTTCTGTCTTCTAAAAAGCTGACTCCATTTGTATTGCCCCAGAACGTAGAACAAGGACCTACGGAGAGATGGGGTTTGTTTCAGTTAAAGACGCTTGAAAAATAGAATGGCTGGCTTAGGAGGTGGTGAGGTTCTAGACAGAGGAGATATTCAAGATGAGGCTGGATGAATTGTGGCACTAATGTTGTAGGTAAACTGAGGAACTAGGGTGGTAAATGGGTATAATAGGGCCTCCATGACCCTGGTTCATTCTAATCTGCAGGGTTCCAGAGGCAAAGCCCAAAATAGGTTAATTAACCAATTAATCAATTTACTAATTAATCAATCAACTAATTAATTAAGAGAAGGGGAAGGAAAGGGAAGAGGGAAGGGAAAAGAGCGGAATGATCTGGGATGGCTGCCATTTCCCTTCCTTGAGAATCCTTTTCATCCTCAACCCAAGACCTTTAATAAGGAGCATCAGACACCACCCATACCCATCTCAGAACAACTCACGACTCACATGCTCCTTCTCCAGCCAGACTACACCCCTCACTGGGACACATGGCCTCGGCTCCCATCATCTCGTCCTCAGCCAGGCATTCTCTTGTGGTGGAAGGAAGACCACTGTTTACTCCATGCTGAACTGGACCCTGGGGCTCTTTGTGGATGACCTCTACATACCGTGTGGAACAGGAACTGACATCCCCTTGTTATGGGCTGAATATTTGTGTCTCCCAACACCCCCAAATTCATACGTTGAAGCCCTACCCTCAGTGTGGCTGTACTTTGAGATTGGGCCCCTAAGGAAGTAATTAAGGTTAAACAAGCTCACAAGAGTGCAGCCCTGAGTTGATAGGATTAGTGTCCTTACAAGAAGAGACACCAGGCTGTGCTTATGCTGTGTCTCTCCCCTCTCTGCCACAGAGGGAAGGCCATGTGAGGGCATGGCAAGAAGGTGGCTGTCCACAAGCCAGGGAGAGAGCCCTCCTTAGAAACCAAATGGACCAACATCTAAACCTTGTACTTCAAGCTCCCAAAACTGTGAGAAAATAAATTCCTGTCGTTTAAGCTGCCTGGTCTGTGGTGTTTTGTTATAACAGCCTGAGCTGAGTAAGATGCCCTCTTGTTAAAGAAATTTCAAGGAGGAAGCATGATTTGGATGCTCATTCTGCCACTTGCAAGCTGAGGGGCCTTGGGTGAGTTATTTTTCTCTCTGAGCCTCAGTGTGGTCATTGGTAAAATGTGGATCATAACACCTATTGCAAAGGGCTATTACGAGGATCAAGTGAGAAGGCTGTGTGTGGGTATCTGGGGAACAGGAAAACACTTGGAAAAAGTTAGATTTAAAGAAAGACATCTACATCTTGAGACTAGAACATTTCTCGTTGTGACTGCCTGTGCTGAGCCTAGGGGAGAAGGAAGTAGAAAATGTGATCACCTGATAACACAACAGCAGCCTGCCCACTTAGAGGCTGCCTCCTCTGGACAGTGGATTGAAGTCCCCATTTGCTTATCAGTTACCTTCTGGGTTGGTAGAAGAGCATTCGTCTCTCAGCAACACCAGCCTCTCCCGGATCTCCAGGATTCACATCCCAGAGCTCCCTGTGCTTTTCTCCACAGAATTTTGGGATCACAGCTATGAGAATCAGCCAGTCTGTTGGAACATGTAAGTCCTCCTGTCCTCCTGAGATCTGGAGACATAGGTAACAATTCCATCTGCAAAACTTTCAAGTAATGATGAGTCCTCTGGGGCCATAACTCACACCCTGAGGCCACCCCCGAAGGATGGCTGGAGGTACCCCACCGAGGAGTCATCCCGCCCACTAGTCCCAAGAGTCATGCCCCCTCATTAGATCAAATCAGAGGCAGCCAGAGATTTACAGCTTCTCTCAAAACATCTGGACCGGCAATGTCAATTCCAGACCAACAGCAGGAGAGGGTACTTGGGGCCATATTACAAGCCTTGCTTCTGAAGAGCAGCTGCCCTGAACGTTCATCTTGAGCACATCTCAGCATGCTGCCTCCTCAGAGTGTGCACATCTGGACTTGAAACTAAGAGAAAGAATGATACATTTTTCTTGCTGTTGAAATATGGCTCCCCAGGGACCCGGTGGGTCGGGCCAGCACAGACACTTCCCGCATCCTGACCTCAAACAAGCCCACATTCTCTAGGATAACCGAAGGGAACACTTCCAAGTCTGCAGGCTGCCATCAACTAAGAACTCAGGCGTCCTCACTTCGTGCTGAGAGGAGGCTCTTCAACATCACTGCCTGCACTGAGCTTAGGGGGAAGGAAGTAGAAAATGTGATTAACATGTAACCATAAAATGTTGCAGCCATAAAAAAAGAGAGAAGTTATGCGTAAGTTATGGCTGCGTGAATGGCCACATCAAGTCACTTCCAAACGCCCCATCTCACTAAACAGCAGTTAGCTTGCTCAACAAGTGGAAACCGCTTTGAGACATTTCAAAATTAGTGATTTTCTACCAGCAGCTATACTGACTGCACCAGAGATCCTAACCACAATCCTTGCTAGAGTTTCAAACAGACTTGCATTTGACTTTTTGTATTTTGTATTTTTATTTTTTGAGACAGAGTCTTGCTCTGTTACCCAGGCTGAAGTGCAGTGGTGCAATCTCAGCGATTTTCCTGCCTCAGCCTCCTGAGTTCAAGCGATTCTCCTGCCTCAGCCTCCTGAGTAGCTGGGGCTACAGGAACCTATCACCAGGCCCAGCTAATTTTTCTATTTATAGTAGAGGTGGGATTTTACCATGTTGGCCAGGCTGGTCTCAAATGCCTGACCTCAAATGACCCACCCACTTCAGCCTCCCAAAGTGCTGGGATTACCAGCGTGAGCCACCAAGCCCAGCCAAACAGACTTGCATTTGACTTTAAAAAATTTAAAGTCACTTGAGCCCAGGAGTTTGAGACAAACTGGGGCAATATGGTGAAAGCCCATCTCTATGAAAAAAATTTTTTTAAATTAGCCAGGTGTGGTGGCAGATGCCTGTGGTCCCTGCTACTTGGGAGGCTGAGAAGGGAGGATTGCTAGAGTCCAGGAGGTTGAGGTTGCAGTGAACTATGATAATATTACTGCACTCCAGCCTGGGTGACAGAGTGAGACCTAGTCTCATGAAAGAAAGAAGAAAGAGAAAGAAAGAAGGAAGGAAGGAAAGAAAATAAAGAAAGAAAGAAGGAGAAAAAGAGGGGGAGAGGGACAGAAAGAGAGAAAGGGAGAAAGGGGGAAGGGAGAAAGGGAGAAAGAGAGGGAGGGAGGGAAGGAAGGAGGAAGGGAGGGAGAATTCTCTTACTGTTATGCTGATTAAGGATTGCACATAGAGCCTGAGTAGGGAAGAATGCAATCCCTAGGTTCATATTATGACTCTTAAGCCTATACTTAGCCTGCCCATGATGCATGATGACAAATCCCCCTTTTCACTCTGCAGGAGAGTCTTTCTTTAGGTCGGCATGCTGGGGTGGCTAGTAGTTCCTTGTTCTTTTTCAGTTTGGGCTGGTTAGAGCTAGCAGGCATGAAACACGGCCTCCAGTTGTAGTATCTCTGAAACAAGTGCCATGGCAAATGGAAAGTTCTTCTTCTTCAGAATGAAGTAGTGGAGATGGGAATCGAGGCAGGTGTCCCAAGGTTGTGCTCTGTACAACATTGTTGCTGCGGTGGTGGGAAGGGGATGGAGGCTTGCGGGAGCTGGTAGTGTCTGCAGCCCCTTCCAGGGCACACCTGCTGAGTGCTTTGGTTCCCTTCCAGGTCTCATGTCGTATGGCTCTTACACTCACCCATTTGCTGTTTAAGCCCCTGACTCACAACTCTGGTTAAGCCTGCCCTTTTTTGCTATCCTGGAGAAAACATTCTTCTTGCTTGATCTTCTTACAAATTCATTCTCTGGTTTGGGGTTGATGCTCGTCTGCTCCTTAAATGGTGCTGTTGTGCTATTATCCACCACAAAGCCCTTTCCACTCTAAAGCTTTGTTAACATGAACCAGTTTGCCGATAAAATCAGATAAGACAGATGTGAGGATGATATTCTTCTCGAAGGGTCCAGCCCAGCTTGGTACCCAACAAACCTAGATTAAAAGAGTCCCCCTGACCTATGTGCAGAGCAAGTACATGGTGCTTGGCTATGTCATGGAGACACTAAGACACCAGTTTGAGTCCTCTGCTCTTGCTACCCATGAGAATGTGGGTGAGAAATGTGACCACCCGGAGCCTCAGTCTTCTGTGTGAAATGAAGATAATTAGAGATCCTATTTTCTAGGATGTTATAGGAAGAAACAAATCATGCCTAGCACGGTACCTGGAATACTTCCAGGATCCAATAAAAAGAATAGCTATATTCCTTGTAGTGATGAGATAGTTCTGTATCTTGAGTGCAGTAATGATTACACAAATCTACGCACGAGAGGAAATGGCATAGAGCTACACACACACTGACCTGGTGTCCAATTCTGGGCTCTGATTTTGTGTGATGGTTATTCCCTTAACCACTAGGCACCTTCATATGAACCTATCATTATTTCAAGATTGAAAAAAAAAAAAAAAAGACCAGGAAGGTGAAAAAGGAGGCATGGTGGGAATAGCTGTGGTGGGGTTAGCATTGTTTGGAGACTTCGCTCCCTTTATTGCTCTGCTGTGACTCCAGAGAGCTGACTGCAGACCCTGCTGCACTTTCACGGCTGCCCTGGTCTCCAGGTTCATTACTGTCTTGCAGACTCTCGGCATCAGCCTTCACCCTGGCTCTGCTGGAGACTGCCCCAGAGCTACAGTCCCCTGGTAATTCCCTGGTGCCTCACTGCCCCAGGCAGCTCCACCACCCGGCCCCACCCCCAGGAAGACACATGCTTAGCACATCCTGACTTCTCCGGCAAGATCAAAGCAAGAGGAAAGGCTATGCAGGGGGGATTCTTGTGCTAAAGGGTGACTTCGCTGTGTGAGCAAGGGCTCTCCACAGGTCCCGCATGCCTAGGGTTTTGCTGGTGCCCGCAGAGTGTGGATTATGGGGATGTGCCAAGCTTGTGAGTATGAGCTCAGGCAAAAGTCCTGTCTTGAAAGATGCAATGGCTCAAGCTATGGAATTCTGTTCCAGCAAGGATGAGAAAATGTTCTGTCTGTCCAAACCAAGAAGTAAGGCATCAAGTATGGAGGTTTTTAAACTTTGACAAATTCCAGAGGCTCAGTGATAAGAACCAGGGAGAGATTCCAGGGGGTGGAGGCAATCAAGGGACATGTCTAAGCCCAGGAAGAGAGGGGAGGTGAACAGCAGGCCCTGGTTACCAAGGCGTTCATGTGTGAATTAGAGCATGGAAGAGACCTCCACGTGAACCTGATAGGGAGTATTTTAAAATGCTTATAAAGGAAAAGTAGATCCTTTCCTATCTGTTGCAGAGTGTAAAATGCAGGGGCTGCTGTGGTCTGCGGAGAAGATGCCTCAGGATTTTGGTCAGGTTGGAGGATTGGGGGAGCATCACTTAAACCAGCTGCCAGAGGAACCCCTGATCCAAGAGGGGAACTTTGATCACAGACAAGCATATGGAGAAGCTCTAACTCCTTTCTTTCCTCATTTATTGTCTTCCATAAGGAAAAGAAGACCTGAAGCCCAGGACCTCAGGAATAAGAAAAGTAGATACCATCTTTCCTTTGCAGGAACGACAAACAGGTGGCCCAAATCCTACCCTTCCAATTTTGGCGAGCACGTGGAGAGAGACATACAGACCTGACGGTGGCAGTGTGCACGGACAATGTTCTTGGAGAATTCAGTTTGGAAGATCCACCCGTGTCTACAGCTAGGTCTTTGTGAAGAAGACTGCATCTTGCACATCTGGGGCTTTTGCTGGTAAAGACCAATGAAATGAAAGGAGCGGACGCTTCTGAATTGCAGGCACCTGCAGCATGCTCCTCCCAGTGCCTCTCACCAGTGGGGAAACCTTGGGAGTCTCTGAGCCTGTTTCCCTTGCTGTGAAATAGGAATGGCAACAATAAAATCTCTTTCTTGGGTTGCTGAGGAGCACTTGGAATGGTGAACAGGCTTTGAACGCGGAACCGCACCTCCGAAATGTTACTGAATGTTGCTGTTATGACAGGTGAAGAGGCAGAGGTTTTAGAATCTGGGAGCATTTTCCTGGAGAGGGAAGGGGTAAGGAGGCTAGGGAGGTGGGTCATCTCCAGTCTTCCATTTACCTAGATGGCTGGAATTGCTGTATAGGAATTAAAATCAACAAAGGAAGTAATTGTGAAAATATGCACAGACATGAGCTCTGGACAGAACAGGTTCAGGAAACGGAGATGCCCAGGAAGTCTTCAAAGCACAAAAAAGAAAAAATGGAAAGTATGAAAATACGGATGCGGGAACCTGTGATTAAAGAAGAAATGAGGCCGGGCACAGTGGCTCACGCCTATAATCCTAGCACTTTGGGAGGCCGAGGCAGGTGGATCACGAGGTCAAGAGATTGAGACCATCCTGGTCAACAAGGTGAAACCCCGTCTCTACCAAGAATACAAAAAAAAATTAGCTGGGCATGGTGGGGCGCGCCTGTAGTCCCAGCTACTTGGGAGGCTGAGGCAGGAGAATTGCTTGAGCCCAGAAGGCAGAGGTTGTGGTGAGCTGAGATCGTGCCATTGCACTCCAGTCTGGGTAACAAGAGCGAAAACTAGATCTCAAAAAAAAAAAAAAAAAAAAAAGAAGAAGAAGAAATGAAAGAAAAAATAGAGAAATACAGTTCTGCAAACAAGAACAGGAGGAGGAGGGAGCAAGTCCAGCTCTCTCTGCAAGTCCTTCCGTCATCAAGCTGTAGGAAGGAGGGAGCAAATGGCACAGGACCTCTGAAGGACAAAACAGGGCAAGTCAAAACCAATCCCTAGTGAGATAATGAGAGGTTAATAAGAGCAATTTCCAGATCTGTCAGCAAACGTGGGTGTGACTAAAACTGGTACACGATTTGGGGGTCCCTCGTAAGAGGTTACTGATGGCAGGGGAAATGGGGAATTTAAAGCAGAAACATTGCCCAGGGACACAGAAGCCCTGGAAGGGGGCCCCCACTTCCAGAATGCATATGTCCATTGAAGAATTTTCTGCTAGCAATGGACTCGTCATTCATAGAGGAAGAGAGGTGGAGAGAAAGCAAAGGCTGGCCACCCCGGTAGTGGTAGGTGTGACCCCACACTCACCTGCTAGGGTCAGCTTCCCTGTCTGCATCCCTTACAGCTGGAAACCCCGGTTCCTCTGTCCATACCATCTCATATCTGCAAGGACTTTCATATGACACCAGTGCTGGTGTTGGAATGGCATTACTGCTAGTGGAGGGAGCTGACGGAATGACTTAAGACACAAGTATAGCATCTGAACAAGACTCGAGTCTCATTGCCTTAAAGGAATCAGTAACAAGTGAAAAGTGACAGTGACTAACCACGAGTCCTTCGACAAGGTACTTACCTGCTCTGAGTGTACTTGCTGAATCTGTTTCAACTATAAAATGGGAATGACACGACCTCCTACAGAGGATGATAAAGACCACCTTAGAGAGAAGGTGGAGTGGCCAGGGTTACACCCTAGTACTGCCCTCAAGAAACAGTTTCCTTTCCCTTGCAGTGAGGGAAAGCCAAGGTGTCTGGAAGGAAGCAGATAGAAGCTTCGTTTGTGGTTGCCCAGACGTCCCTGCCATTGTCATTGAGATATCAATGCAAACTCAAAGAAAGCAGGTCTGAGATTTATCCCTTTGTTCCTCTCATCTTGTCAAGCCCAAGAATGCCTTTTAAAAAACAGGAAATGCCAAACACATTAAGAAGAAATGCCAAGTGCCAGGCCAGAGCCGTGGTGAGTGGCGGGGTCGGAGAGAGCTTAGCAGCCCCTGGGACTCACCTGCAGGCCTTGCATTGACCCTGTCTCCCTGACAAGCCCTGCACACTGTCCTCTCGCTCCTGGTGGCTTCTTTCCTGGTTCCAGCCAGTCGGTTCATCCTGGACTTCAACTTGGCCCATTTGTTCTGGCTGGGCCTTTCCTTTCGGAATTCTTTGCCTGCATCCTGTTTTTGCAGTCCCAGAAGCTTTGGCTG